GCTATATCGCCCAGCCCTACTTTAGCATATGCACTCTAAGGGTCCTCCAATGACCGACAGAATCAAATATCTCAGTGTTTCCACTGAGGGGAGAAGTCACCATGTGGTACGAATGCATGGTTCCCCTTACAATATTGTGAGAAGTAGGGCTGGGCAAAAAATCGAATGCGATTTTCATGAGAATCTTGTCAGTAAAGCCGCTTCTGGTGATTAGTAGTAAAAGCACGTGCTTTCAGATGGAGTGGCATTTACTACACAGAGCCGTAGATCACTGACAAGCTACACAAAATCGCGTTCAAAGATTTTGTGTAGCTTGTCAGTGAACTACGGTTCTGTGTAGTAAATGCCGCTCCATCTGAAAGCACGTGCTGGAGATTTACTACTAATCACTTGAAGCGGCTTTACTGACGAGATGCGCATGAAAATCGCATTCGATTTTTTGCACAGCCCTAGTGAGAAGCCTGTTAATTAAATGTATACAGAAGGCTCATTATCAACGGCTTTTCAGTTCAGTGTAAAATGTCTTTAACAAAGCCCTACGCTAAACTATCCAATACATGTCCAACATGTGCTGAAATGTAGAAAGCTGTTTTAGAGCAAGCTCAAAATTATCTAGAATCATTTGCAGTCATGTAAATATGAGAACTTGTTTCCAGCTCTAATCCTAATGCTTTTATATTTTTATGCATTTGTAAAAAAAATTAAATGGTAAAAGATTCACGTAAGATGCATAATTTATGCTATACTATGTTCAATAGAAATATTGTCCAGATGTATTGTATGACTCATGTAATTTGAGTTTGCTCTTAAACTAGATGGTTTTAAAGCTGTAAGTTGTCCAGCGTGTATTGCAGTCCAGTGTGTGTCTTGAGTAGATGTGCAGTTTCCCTGCAGCTCACGTTCATCAGGTCTGACAGATGCCTGTGCTCTGTGCAGGGAGGCGAGGCTCTGATGATGGAGAATGGACAGAGCATGGCCTCGAAGCTCGGCCTGCCGCCCCTCACCCCGGAACAGCAGGA